TGGTGCGTAGGTCTGTGCCAAGGATCCGAATCTGAAAACCTCGGGCCGCCGAAGCAGAGTGTGTGAACTTAATCACTATGCCACTGGGTCGGCCCTTCATTTTCTTTTCACATCCACACTGACAATATTGACAATATTTTTTTTTCTTAAATACTACTTATTCCTTTGGCCTTTATGGATCGACTTCATCTGGCTCCCTTTCTACTCTTCTGATTCATTCTTTACAGTATTTTTGTATGCCGTTCACTCTCTGCCTATTCTGAAAGTGGTCTTCAAATTCCTTTTCATTTTAAGTTTTTTCCTGTTCTCCATATATATTCAAACTGAACAATCATATTAAATACCACAACATTTTGTTATAAGAATCTAAAGGCTAAGCTTGCCACCTGTTATCATTTGTATTGACCTTATGTGAGGTTGGCCTCTTTCTGTCCTTCATCCCACATCCAATCACATCCAATTGATCACTATGTTTTATTGACTATGTTTCCAAAATATTTTACCTGTGGCTTTCCTTTCCTTCTCTGCACCATGCCCTCAGTATCTCCACTGTAAAATTGCTTCCTGTCAGATAGCCTTGACTTTAGCCATCTCTTCTTTTATTCTATGTTGTAGTCATCTTCTTAAAATGTAAATATGATTGTCTTATCTCTGTGCTTAAAAAGCTTGTATATGTGTCCACATCAGCTACAGAACATGTCTTTAGTATGATCCAGCCTTTAACACACTTCACAATTTGTTCCTAACCTAAAATTCTAGGCTATATTTGTGTAAACATAAATATAATACTCTCAACATACACGACCATTAGTACAATTTTGTTGGTGTTAAGAATCCTGTTAGGATAGATTCACAGAATCATAGAAGTTTATAGTCTTAGAACATTAGGCCAAATAAAATCCAGACAAAAAAACTCATGCTCAGAGATATAACTTGAGTCGTCTAGCTTATAGAATTTGTTATTGACAGAACAGGAACAAAACCTTTGGTCTAATACCTTTGGCGCGATTGATCTCTTACTTGGCAATGCAAATATATCCTACAAGTCTATAGGACTATGGCAACATTGTATAGGTACACATATTCTAGGCAACAGAAACACACACTGGTTATATGGATCCACTGGTTGCTCCTTGGCAACTGTCAACTCTTTGTTTTGTACATCTGGGTTCCATCTAGATTTCATCTGGGAATATCTGTAGTTAAAAATCTTCAAGGATAGCAGATTATTTTTCTTTTCTTTTCTTTGATTTTTAATGGAAAATGAAGTGCTTATGTAATTGCAATTTCATACTGAGACACAAGATATTGACCAATATTAACATCTTAAGTAAGACTAATATTAGAGAAATTCATGCTAACTATAGAGTGTTTTAATATTAAAACAGAATTAGAGTGAGGAAAAAAGAGAAAACTGTTCTTCATTCTCACCATTCTTTTCGAGCAAAGGACGTTATCTCTTCAAGATAGAATCACCGTAAGTGTTCATATATTTTCAAATGTGTTTATTTTTGTTCCCTGTTTACTAGCTATGGATTATTTTGTTGTCTTAACGTGAAAAACCAAAACTTGTGTTAAGTCTTCTGGACATAAAAACATTAGATACCTGACTTCATCATCCTTTGGTTGTCATGATGGGAGGAAGCATAACTTCAGATTTTCTTGTAACTTTGTGAATGCTTTCATATTTGAATCAGGTTTGGGCAAGGCCATCTCCTTATTTCCTTGGCATGATGAATGGTATATGGCCAAATACAATTTCCTAGTCTTACTCGGAGCAATGTAATCCCGTTTTTAAAGTTACCCATGGCTAATAGGTTGTGGAGGCCTATTCTGACATCAGAGATAATCTACTCCTTCAAAAGACATTATTTATTTATTTACTGAGGTCACATTGATTTATAACATTATATGTTTCAAACATACATTATTATATTTAGTTTTAGTGAATCTCATAGTATTTTTTTAATCATTTCACAAAAATAACTTACTTATTTTTTCCTCCCCAGTTGCTTATTACAGAGTTACATATCAGAATCATTGTACTTTGGAGACTGGAATGTACTACGAAATTTACTTAACAAAGCAATGGGTGTTAAAGGGTTCATTCTTTTGAATTAGTTAATAACTGATAGGAATAGGCCTCAATGTACTATTTTCCTTGCATGGATTATGCATTTTGGAACTCTTTGCTCTTCAATTTAGCATTCTAAATTAACTTGTATCATAGCCATTATTGAAGGACATGACCACCTGCCATCCCCATATGTTGGCTTTAATTATAAATATTTCCATTTGAAAGTCACAAAACTCTACCCAATCCTCTACTCTATACAAGTGAAAACAAGGAGGACCAAAATCTCATGAAATACTTTTAGACAAATAATATCTTATTATGGGTCTTCACATCAAAAAAAAAAAAAAAAGAAAAGAAAAAAAGGAAGACAACCTGTGAAAAAAGTAATGTCAGAAACCTAACAGATGGCTCATAGTAAGAGATTTGTTAATCTAGTTACTTGAGACTTCCAAAATCTTTGACAACTAATAAAGCATAACAATTTTTTTTTTTGGATCCTACTCATCACAGTAACTCTAGTATAGAATTTAATTTTTATTTGCTTGGTTTTGGAGTAACTCTTTTTCTACTTCCTCACTTCCTTCCTCCTTCTCTCCCTTCCTTCCTTCTTGCTTTGCGTGTTATATCCAGCAACAAACACCATTAAAGAGAAGTAAGCTTTAGACAAAATTATCTAAGCAAAAATTTGTGACTAGCACTCGGCTTTCTGGTTCCCTATCAACATCTATCGTTTTCCTTCTGGTTTATTCTACAGCAAGCATTTATTACTCTCTTTTTATGTTCCAGATACTTTATGGTTGTTGCAGATACAAAGTATATTATAACATGGTCCTTTCACTGACCTCTTGTGTGTAGGGCTGGGACAGACATGACAACATAAGACAAGTGTCCAAATAGGGGTACAAATGAGCTATTTGGTTATCGCTAGTGTAAAACACTTACCTTCCTGGGAATATCAGGAAATTATTTTTGGCGTTGATAACGTAGGGACCACAACTTGAAAGATACTTAAGAATTTACTAGGAAGAGCCATCCTGGTGGAGGGGGGCGGTGCAGGAAGAAATGTGAATTTCCTTATGCTGATGCTTATTCCCCTGGGTACCTCACCTCTGTCCCATTTTGTAGGAAATCGTTGTTTTTCTCAACCTAAATCTTAGCTAAGAAACCTTTCTTAATCTGTCTCCAGTGTATTTTTATTTACAACATCTTTCTTTGAAAGCTAAAAGTCTTCTTATAAAAGAAAAATAATTTCAAGTGTGGTAGAAAACATCTTTAAAAACTTATTAAGGGCTAAAGCATTTTACTTATGTTATTTAAACCTTTCTACAACATTATAAAGGATATTTGTTACCAATGAGTAAACTGAGAGGTAGGTCAAGTAAATCACACAGGAAGTAAGAGATTATGCCAGAATTTGAAACCAAATTTCGGTACTCTGCTTTCTTAGAATGGAAGAAGGTAGTAGTGCATAATCTTTGACCCTTTGGTTTTCTTGTTCTTTCATTTTTAAAAAAATTCATCTGAACCTCTTAATTCCCATTTTTATGTAGGCTATCCTCCCATCTCTGTCACTCAAATTGCTCCCAATCCTTCAATATTAAAATAGCTTTGCAATATAGTTTGAAATCAGGAAGTGTGCTGTCTCCCACTTTGTTCTTCTTTCTCGGGATTGCTTTAGCTATTTGGGATATTTTGTAGTTCCATATAAGTTTTAGGATTACTTTTTCTACTTCTGTAAAAACTACCACTGGAATCCTGAAAGGGATTGTGTTGAATCTATAGATCACTTTTAGTAGTATGAACATTTTAACAATATTAATTCTTCTAATCCATAAACACAGGATGCCTTTCCATTTATTTGTGTCTTCTTCAATTTCTTTCACCACTTTCTTGTACTTTTCAGTGTAGAGATCTTTCACCTCCTTGGTTAAATTTATTCCTAAATATTTTACTGTTTTTGATGTTGTTGTAAATGGGATCATTTTCTTTGTTTCTTTTTCAGGTAATTCATTGTTATTGTATAACAATAAAATTCTCTGTTTTTGTATGTTGATTTTGTATGCTGCAACTTTACTGAACTCATTCATTAGATCTAGGAGATTTTTGGTGGAGTCTTTAGGAATTTCTCTATATAAAAGCATGTTATCTGCAAATAGAGACAATTTTACTTTTTCCTTTCCAATTCTGATGTCTTTTATTTCCTTGTCTTTTGTGATTGCTTTGGCTGAGGCTTCCAGTACTATGTTGAATAGGAGGGGGGAGAGTGGAGACCCTTGTCTTGTTCCTGATCTTAGAGGAAAAGCTTTCAAACTTTCACTGCTAAGTATGATGTTAGCTGTGGGCTTATCATATACGGCCTTTATTAAGTTGAGGTACATTCCTTCTATACCTAATTTGTTAGTGTCTTTATCATGAATGGATGTTGAATTTTGTCAAACACTTTTCTGCATCTATTGAGATGATCTTATGATATTTTTCTTTCATTCTGTTAATGTGATGTATCACATCAATTGACTTGCATATGTTGAACCATCCTTGCATTCCAGGAATAAATCCCACTTGATCATGGTGAATGATCTTTTTAAGGTGCTGCTGAATTTGGTTTGCTAGTATTTTACTAAAAATTTTTGCATCTATACTCATCAGGATGTTGGCCTGTAGTTTTCTTTTCTTCTAGCGTCTTTTCTGGCTTTGGTATCAGGGTAATGCTGGCCTCATAAAATGAGTTTGGGAGTGGTCCCTTCTCTCATTTTATGGAAGAGTTTGAGAAGGACTGACATTAATTCTTGTTTAAATGTTTGGTAAAATTCACCAGTGAAGCCATCTGGTCCTGGGCTTTCCTTCATTGTGAGATTTTTGATTACTGATTCAATCTCCTTAGTAGCAATTGATCTGTTCCGATTTTCTATTTCTTCCTGATTCAGTCTTGGTGAGTTGTATGTTACTAAGAATTTTTCTATCTTTTTTAGGTTTTCAAGTTTGTTGGCATACAGTTGTATATAGTTGTCTCTTATGATACTTTGTACTTCTATGGTGTCAGTGTAATGCTCCCTTTGTATTTATAATTTTATGAATTTGAGTCCTCTCTATTTTTTCCTTTGCTAGTGTAGCAAAACGTTTGTCAATTTTGTTTATCTTTCCAAAAAACTAAGTCTTAGTTTTGTTAATCTCTTCTATTGTTTTCCTGTTCTCTATTTCACTTATTTCTGGTCTAATCTTTGTTATTTCTTTTCCTTTATTATTTCCTTCTTTCCTTTATTGTTTTATTTTATACTCCTTGGGTAGAAGTTAGCTAACTTTTGGCTCAGTTTGTACTTCTTGTTCTAGTACCTTAAGGCATAGAGTTAGGTTGCTATTTGAGATCTTTCTTATTTTTTTAAAAATAATTTTATTTATTTATTTTTTCCTCCAAAGCCCCAGCAGATAGTTGTATGTCATAGTTGCACATCCTTCTAGTTGCTGCATGTGGGACGCAGCCTCAGCATGGCCGGAGAAGCGGTACCTCTGTGCGTGCCCGGGATCCGAACCCTGGGCCGCCAGTAGCGGAGCACGCGTACTTAACTGCTAAGCCACCAGGCTGGCCCAAGATCTTTCTTATTTTTTAATGTAGGCATTTATTGCTATGAACTTCCCTGTTAGGACTGCTTTTGTTGCTTCCCATATGTTTTAGTATGTTATGTTTCCATTTTTATTTGTCTCAATACTTTTTTATTCCCCATTTAATTTCTTCTTTGACCCATTGTTTTTCAGGAGGGTGTAGTTTTATTTCCATGTTTGTGAATTTTCCAGTTTTCCTCTTGTTATTGATTTCTAGTTTCATATCATTGTTGTCAGAGAAGATGCTTGGTATGATTTCAGTCTTCTTGAATGGGAGAGGACTTGTTTTGTGGCCTAACATATGGCCTGTCCTAGAAAATTTTTCTTTCAGTAATTTTATTGAGATCATAATGGTTTATAACATTGTGTAATTTCGGGTGTACATTATTATTTGTCAATTTCTGAATAGACTTCATCGTGCTCACCACCAGTAGTCTAATTTTTGTCTATCACCATATATATGTGCCTCTTTACTCCTTTCGCCCACCCTCAGCCCCCTTCCCCGCTGGTAACCACTAATCTGTTCTCTTTATCCATGTATTTGTTTATCTTCCACATATGAGTGAAATCATGCAGTATTTATCTTTCTCTGTCTGGCTTATTTCACGTAATTTAGTACCCTCAAAGTCCATCCATGTCATTGCAAATAGGACAATGTTATCTATTTTATGGCTGAGTAGTATTGCATTGTATATATATACCACATCTTCTTTATCCATTCATCTGTAGGATGGTACATGGGTTGCTCCCATGTCGTGGCTATTGTGAATAATGCTGCAATGAACATAGGGGTGTATAAATCTCTTTGGATCCTTGATTTCAACTTCTTTGGATCAATACCCAGTAGTGGGATAGCTGAGTCATATGGTATTTCTATTTTTAATTTTTTGAGAAATCTCCATTCTGTTTTCCATAGTGGCCACACCAGTTTGCATTCCTACCAATAGTGCATGAGTATTCCCTTTTCTCCACATCCTCTCCAACATTTGTTGCTTTTTGTCTTGGTAATTATAGCCATTCTGACTGGTATAAGGTGATATTTCATTGTGGCTTTGATTTGCATTTCCCTAATAATTAGTGGTGTTGGACATTGTCTCCTGTGTCTGTTGTCCATCTGTATATCTTTGGAAAAATATCTGTTCATATCCTCTGCCCATTTTTTGATCAGGTTTTTGTTGTTGTTGTTGAGTTGTACGAATTCTTTATATATTTTGGAGATTAACCCCTTGTCAGATAAATGATTTGCAAATATTTTCTCCCAGTTGGTGGGTTGTCTTTTCATTTTATTACTGGTTTCCTTTTCTTTGCAGAAGCTTTTTAGTCTGATGTAGTCCCATTTGTTAATTTTTTCTTTTGCTTCCCTTGCCTGAGTATACATGTATTCAAAAAGATGCTGCTAAGACCAATGTTGAATACTGTACAGCCTATACTTTCTTCCAGGAGTTGTATGGTTTCAAGTTTTACATCCAAGTTTTGAATACATTTTGAGATAATTTTTGTGTTTGGTGCAAAATAATGGTCTACTTTCATTCTTTTGCATGTGGTTTCCCAGTTTTCCCAATACCATTTATTGAAGAGACTTTCTTTTCTCCATTGTATGTTCCTGGCTCCTTTGTCAGAGATTAACTGTCCATAGTTGTGTGGTTTACTTCTGGGCTTTCAATTCTGTTCCATTGATCTGTGTGTCTGTTTTTGTGCCAGTACCATGCTGTTTTGATACCTATAGCTTTGTGCAGTATAAATTTTTTTGTGTGTGAGGAAGATTAGCCCTGAGCTAATATCTGTGGCCAATCCTCCTCTTTTTGCTGAGGAAGACTGGCCCTGGGCTAGCAACCGTGCCCATCTTCCTCTACTTTATATGGGATGCTGCCACAGCATGGCTTGACAAGCGGTGCCTCAGTGCACACCCCAGATCCGAACCCTGGGCTGCTGCAGTGGAGCACACACACTTAACCACCACGTCACCAGGCCAGCCCCTATAGCTTTGTGTAGTATATTTTGAAGTCAGGGATTGTGATATCTCCAGCTTTGTTCTTTTTCTCAGGATTGCTTTGGCTATTTGAGGTCTTTTATTGTTCCATATAAATTTTAGGATTCCTTGTACTATTTTTGTGAAGAATGCCATTGGGATTCTGATTGGGATTGCATTGAATTTGTAGATTGCTTTAGGTAGTATGGACATTTTAACTATGTTGATTCTTCTGATCCATGAGCATGGAATATCTTTCCATTTCTTTATGTAGACTTCAATGTCTTTCAATAATGTCTTATGGTTTTCAGTGTATAGGTCTTTCATCTTTTTGGTTAAGTTTAATACTAGATATTTTATTCTTTTTGTTGCAATTGTAAATGGGATTGTATTCTTGACTTCTCTTTCTGCTAGTTCATTGTTAAAGTACAGAAGTGCAAATGATTTTTTTAAGTTGATTTTGTACCCTGCAAATTTGCTGTAGTTGTTGATTATTTCTAAAAGTTTTCTCATGGATTCCTTAAGGTTTTCTATGTATAGAATCATGTCATCTGCAAGCATCAAGAGTTTCATTTCTTCATTCTCAATTAGGATTCCTTTTATTTCTTTTTCTTGCCTAATTGCTCTGGCTAAAACCTCCAGACTGTATTGTATAGGAGTGGTGAGAGTGGGCACCCTTGTCTTATTCCTGTTCTCAGAAAGGTGGCTTTCAGTTTTTCACCACTGAGTATGATGTTGGCTGTGGGTTTATCATATATGGCCTTTATTGTGTTGAGGTACTTTCCTTCTATGCCCATTTTATTGAGACTTTGTATTATAAATCGATGTTGGATCTTGTCAAATGCTTTCTCTGCATCTATTGAGATGATCATGTGATTCTTATTCTTCATTTTTTTAATGCAGTGTATCACATTGATTGGTGGATGTTGAACCATCCCTGTGTCCCTGGCATAAATCCCACTTGATCATGGTGTAGGATCTTTTTAATGTATTGCTCTATTCGGTTTGCCAGTATTTTGTTGAGTATGTTTGCATCTATGTTCATGAGTGATAATGGCCTGTAATTTTCCTTCTTTGTGTTGTCTTTGTCTGGTTTTGGTATCAAGGTAATGTTGGCCTCATAGAATGAGTTAGGAAGTGTTCCATCTTCTTAAATTTTTTGGAATGGTTTGAAAAGGATAGGTGATAGATCTTCTTTGAATGTTTCATAGAATTCTCCAGGGAAGTCATCTGTTCCTAGACTTTTGTTTTTTGGGAGGTTTTTGATTACTGTTTCAATCTCTTTGCTTGTGATTGGTCTATTCAGATTCTCTATTTCTTCTTGATTCTGTTTTGGGAGGTTTATGAGTCTAAGAATTTATCCATTTCTTCTAGGTAATCCAATTTGTTGGCACATAGTTTTTCATAGTATTCTCTTATAATCTTTTGTATTTCTGCAGTATCCATTGTAATTTCTCCTCTTTCATTTCTAATTTTATTTATTTGAGACTTCTCTGTTTTTTCCTTCGTGAGTCTGGCTAAGGGTTTGTCAATTTTGTTTGTCTTCTTGAAGAACCAGCTCTTAGTTTCGTTAATCCTTTCTACTGTTTTTTTTTTTTAATCTCTATTTCATTTATTTCTGTTCTGATTTTTATTATTTCCCTCTTTCTGCTGACTTTGAGCTTTGTTTGTTCTTTTTCTAGTTCTGTTAGGTGCAGTTTAAGATTACTTATTTGAGATTTTTCTTCTTTGTTGAGGTGGGCCTGTATTGCTATGTATTTCCCTCTAATGAGTGCTTTTCCTGCATCCCATAAGAGTTGGTATGTTGTATTTTCATTTTCATTTGTCTCCCGGTATTTTTAAATTTCTCCTTTGATTTAGTCACTGATCCAATGATTGTTCAGTAGCATGCTGTTTAGTCTCCACATATTTCTGACTTCCTCAGTTATTTTTGTAGTTGATTTCTAGTTTCATAGCATTGAGGTCAGAAAAGATGCTTGAGGTTATTTCAGTCTTCTTAAATTTATTGAGGTTTGCCTTGTTTCTTAACATATGGTTTATCTTTGAGAATGATCCATGTGCACTTGAGAACAATATGTATTCTGCTGTTTTGGGGTGGAATGCTCTCTGTATATCTATTAAGTCCATCTGGTCAAGTGTTTCATTTAAATCCACTATTTCTTTGTTGATTTTTTGTCTGTATGATCTGTCCATTGATGTAAGTGGAGTGTTGAGGTCCCCTCCTATTTTTGCGTTGCTGTTAATTTCTCCCTGTAGGTCTATTAATAGTTGCTTTATGTACTTTGGTGCTCCTGTGTTAGGTGCATATATATTTGTAAGTATTATGCCCTCTTAGTGGAATGTCCCTTTTATCATTATATACTGCCT